ATTAAATGCTCCAACCAAAGGACATAGACTGGCTGAATGATACAAATACAAGACCCATATATACGGCGTCTACAAGGGACCCACTTGAGCTAGAGACACATACAGGCTGAAAGTGAGGGGATGGAAAATATATTCCACACAAATGGAAAGCAAAAGAAAGCTGGAGTAGCAATACTTCTATAAGAGAAAGTAGATCTTAAACTAAAAATTGTTACAAGAGACAAAGAAGGACACTACATGATGGTCAAGGGATCAATCCAAGAAGAAGGTATAACAATTATATATGCACCCAACATAGGAGCACGTCAATATATAGAGCAATTGTTCACAGACATAAGATGAGAAATACACAATAACACAAATAATAGTGGGGGACCTTTGCATCCCACTTACATCAATGGACAGATCATCCAGACAGAAAGTCAATGAGGAAGTACAAGCCCTAAATGACACATTAGACCCGATGAACTTAATTGATCTATAGAACATTCCATTTGAAAGGAACAGAGTATACATTCTTTCAAATGCACACAGAACTTTCTCCAGAATTGATCACACGCTGGCCCACAAATCATGCCTCAGTAAGTTTAAGAAAACTGAAATCAAGCCAGGCACCTTTTTCTACTACAATGTTATAAGGTTAGACAAGGAACAAACTGCAAAAACTGCAAACACGTGAAGGCTAAACAATATGCTACTACACAACCAATGGATCACTGAAGAAATGTAAGATGAAATAAAAACTGCTTTGAGACAAATGAAAACAAAAACACAATGATCAAAAACCTCTGGGACACAACAAAAGCAGTTCTAAAAGGGAAGTTTATAGTGATACAAACCTACTGCAGGAAACAAGAAAAATCTGAAATAAACAAGCTAATGTTACACCTACAGCAGCTAGAGAAAGAAAAACAAAACCCAAAGTTAGTAGAAGAAAAGAAATAATAAAGATCAGAGCAGAATGAAATAGACTAAAAAGACAGAAAAGCTCAGTGAAATTAAAAGCTGGTTCTTTGAAACAATAAACAAAATTGGTAAACTTTTAGTCAGACTCATTAAGAAAAAAGGGAGAGGACCCAAATGAATAAAATCAGAAATGAAAAAGGAGAAGTCACAACTAACACCACAGAAATACAAGGGATCAGAAGAGGCTACTATGAGCAAGTACACACTGACAAAAAGGACAACCTAGAAGAAATGGATAATTCCTTAGAAAGGTACAATTTGCCAAGACTGGATCAAGAAGAAATAGAAACTATGAATAGACCAATTACCAGGACTGAAACTGAATCAGTAATTTCAAAACTCCCAACAAAAAAAAACAGTCCAGGGCCAGATGACTCCACCCCAAATTCTACCAAGCTTTTAGAGAAGAGTTAACACCTATCCTTGTGAAGCTATTCCAAAAAGTTGCAGAGGAAGGAACACTTCTGAACTCATTCTATGAGGCCACCATCACCCTGACACCAAAACCAGGCAAAGTTATCATAAAAAAGAAAATTAGAGGCCAATATCACTTATTAATATAGATGCAAAAATCCTCAACAAAATATTAGCAAGTCGAATCCAACAATGCATTAAAGAGATCACACAGCATGATCAAGTGGGATTTATCCCAGACATGCAAAGATTTTTCAATATCCACAAATCAATGTGATAAAGCACATTAACAAGTTGAAGAATAAAAACCATATGATCATCTCAATAGATGCAAATAAAGCTTTTGATAAAACTCAACATCCATTTATCATACAAATTCTCCTGAAAGTGGGCATAGAGGGAACATATCTCAACATAATAAAGGCCATCTATGACAAACCCACAGCTAACATCATACTTACTGGTGAGGAGCTGAAAGCATTCCCTCTAAGATCAGGAACAAAACAAGGATGCCTGCTCTTGCCACGTTTCTTCAACATAATTTTGGAAGTCGTAGCCATAGCAATCAGAGAAGAAAAAGAAATGAAAGGAATACTAAGCAGAAAAGAAGAAGGAATACCGTAACTGCTCGTGGATGATATGATACTATATGTAGAAAATCCTAAGGAAGCAACCAGAAAAGTGCTCGAGCTCATCAATGAATTTGGTAAAGTTGAAGGATACAAAATTAATATGCAGAAATCACTTGCATTTCTACACACTAACAACAAAATAGCAGGAAAAGAAATTAAGGAAACAATCCCATTTACCATCACACCAAAAAAAGAATCAAATAGCTAGGATAAACTTAGCCAAGGAGGCAAAAGACCTGTACCCCAAAAACGATGACCCTGAGGAAAGAAATTGAACACACCATAAACAGATGGAAAGATATACTGTGTTCTTGGATTGGAAGAATCAGTACTGTTCAAATGGCCATCCTACCCAAGGCAATAGACAGATTCAATGCAATCCCTGTCAAATTACCAATGACATTTCTCATAGAGCTGAAACAAAACATGTTAAAATTTATATGGAAACAAAAAAGACCCTGAAAAGCCAAAGCAGTCTTTGAAAAGGAGAATGGAGTTGGGAGAATGACATTCCCTGACTTCAGACTATACTACAAAGCTACAATAATCAAAACAGTATGGTGCTGGCACAAAAACAGACACACAGATCAATGGAACAAGACAGAAAGTCCAGAAATAAACCCACACACTTATGATCAATTAATCTATGACAAAGGAGGCAAGAATATACCATGGAGACAAAAACAGTCTCTTCAACAAGTGGTGCTGGGAATACTGGACAGCTGCCTGTAAAGGCCTGAAATTAGAACACTTTCTAGCACCATATACAAAAATAAATTCAAAATGGATTAAAGGCCTAAATACAAGACCAGACACTATAAAATTCCTAGAGGAAAACACAGGCAGAACACTCACTGACATAAAACACAGCAGTATTTTTTTCAAACCAACTCCTAGAATAATGGAATTAAATGCAAAAATAAACAAATGGGCTCTAGTTAAATTTAAAAGCTCTTGCACAGCTAAGGATACCATCAACAAAATGAAAAGACAACTTATAGAATGGGAGAAAATATTTGCAAATGATGCAGCTGACAAAGGACTAATTTCCAAAATATAGAAACAGCTCATACAGCTTAATATATGAAAAAAAAAGGGAATCCAATCAAAAAATGGCCAGAAGACCTGAAAAGGCATTTCTCCAAAGAAGACATCTGGATTGCCGACAAGCACCTGAAATGATGCTCAACATCACTAATTGTCAGAGAAATGCAAATCGAAACTACAATGACGTATCACCTCACACCAGTCAGAATGGCCATCATTCAAAAGTCCACAGATGACAAATGCTGGAGAGGCTGTGGAGAAAAGGGACCCCTCCTATACTGCTGGTGGGAATGCAGTTTGGTGAAGCTACTGTCAAAAACAGTATGGAGAGTCCTCAAAAGACGAGTAATAGACTTACCATATGACCCAGGAATCCCACTCCTGGGCTTGTATCCAGAAGAAACCCTTCTTCAAAAAGACACCTGCACCCCAATGTTCATAGCAGCACTATTTACAATAGCCAAAACATGGGAACAGCCTAAATGTCCATCAATAGGTGACTGGATAAAGAAGAAGTGGTATATTTATACAATGGAATACTACTCAGCCATAAAAATGACAACATAACACCATTTACAGCAACATAGGATGTTCCTGGAGAATGTCATTCTAAGTGAAGTAAGCCAGAAAGAGAGAAAAATACCATATGAGATCACTCATATGTGGAAACTAAAAAAAAGAAAAAAGAAAAGAACATAAATACAAAACAGAAACAGACTCATAGACTTAGAATACAAACTTGTGGTTGCCAAGGGGGCTGGGTGTGGGAAGGGACAGACTGGGATTTCAAAATTTGTAGATACGGACAGGCATATGCAGAATAGATAGACAAGATTATACTGTATAGCACAGGGATATATATACAAGATCTTGTGGTAGCTCACAACAAAAAAAATGTGACAATGAATATATGTATGTTCATGCAGAACTGAACAATTGTGCTCTACACTGGAATTTGACACAACATTGTAAAATGACTATAACTCAATAAAAAAATGATTTAAAAAAATAGAAGACCTGAATAGTCATTTCTCCAAAGAAGACATCCGGATGGCCAACAAGCACCTGAAAAGATGCTGAACAACACTAATTGTTACAGAAATGCAAATAAAAACAATGAGATATCATCTCACAGCAGTCAGAATGGCCATCCTTAAAAAGACCACAAACAATAAATTCTGGAGAGGGTGTGGAGAAAAGGGAACCCTCCTACACTGTTGGTGGGAATGTAAATTGGTGCAGCCACTATGGAGGACATTATGGATGTTCCTTCAAAAACTAAAGATAAACTTAACGTATGATCCAGCACTCCCACTCCTGGACATATATCTGGAGGAAAATATAATTTAAAAAGACACATGCACTCCAGTGCTCACAGCAGCGTTATTTACAGTAGCCAAGATGTAGAAACATCCCAAGTGTCCATCAACAGATAAAGAAGATGTAGTATATATGCAGTGGAATTCTACTCAGTCATAAAAAAGAATAAATTCATGCCATTTGCAGCCACATGGATGGACCTGGAGATTGTCATTCTAAGTGAACTAAGTCAGAAAGAGAAAGAAAAATACCATATGATATCGCTTATATGTGGAATCCAAAACAAAAGGACACAAATGAACTTCTCTACAAAAGAGAAACAGACTCACAGACATAGAGAAGAAATTTATGGTTACCAGGGAGTAAAGGAGGTGGGAAGGGATAAATTGGGAAATTGAAAAATTTGCACCTCTTGGGAAATGACAGACATGTTGGCTATTTTGATTGTGCTGGTGGTTTCATTGGTGTGTACGTCTATCAGAATTCATCAAACTGTACATCTGAAAGACGTGTCATTTAGTATACAGGAATCATATCACAGTAAAGGTGTTAAAAAATTAGAAAAAAGGGAACTATATAACTAATTTCCACCCCCAAAATAAACAAAAAGAATGACACATCATGGCCAAGTACAATTCATTCCAAGAATATATGGTTGGTTTAATAGGTGAAAATCAATCAAGATAACTCAGCCTAATTAACAAACTAAAACAGCAAAATTGTGATCATTTTCTTAGATGCAAAGAAAGAATTCTAAAAACTTCAACAGCCATTTGTGATGAACTGAGATTCTCAGTAAACTAATCAAGGCAATGTGCTCTCATTAAAAATCCGTGGAACTGAAGAGATAGCCTGAAATAGACTTACACAAATCCAGGTGATTTTTTGAGAAAGATAACAGTGTGATTCAGTGGGTAAAAGATGGCTTTTCAAAAATATGCTGACCAACTAGATTCCTCTATGGAGAAATCAGCCTGGGCCTGACCTCACATCATACACGAACGCTGGGTCAACTCAGAGATGCTTGCAGCCAGGAAGAGCGTTGCTCATACCCCAGATGAACTGCAAATGAGTACATTTCCTTGATTCCTTTAGATATTTGAGGTTACGGGGCAAACAACTAACCCGAAATCTGGAGAGGGGCAGGGCTGAGTGCTTGGTCACCTGGGACAGCTTGTGCTGAAACCGGCCAGGGACAGGCAGGTCCCAGAGCCAGGCTGGTGCCCAGGCAGGGGGAGGTGTCCCTGGGTACAGGAGAGTCCACCCAGATGGCGGTCTTGGGGGAAGCAGGGGTCCAGGAAGCTGCAAGGTGGGGACGTGGGCTGAAGATCCCAC